GGGGGGGGGACCTAGGACTGGACTGGAAGATGGAGCCTGCCCCTCTGCCTTCCCGCCTTCCGGCCACTCATTCATTCTTTCCTGAACAGTCATGGAACTCTCAATTCACCTCGCCCTGGAGGAACTGACTGGGTCCCAAGAAGGGGAAGGAGGACAGGAGACTGACACCCAGCCCGCCCCGCCCCGCCAGGCTTTCAGGGCGCAGGGGTGGGGCGGCCGGCGCAGGCGGAAGCCAGGCGCTTGGGGGCGCGGACGTTCTGTGCGACTTTTGGGGACAGCATTTAGCCTCCCTTCAGCCAGGCAAGCGCTCCCGCAGCGGTCTTGGTTGCCCTCCTCCATGGGGCCTTCCCTGTCCTCAACTTGCCGGGCCTGGAGCCCCCGGCCTGCTACCTTCGGGGCCCGACTTCACCCTTGCCTGGGAAGGGCTTAACTTTGGTGAGTCAGTGTCCACGCTTCGGTTCCCACAGCTCCTGGCCGAGGCAGTGGGAGGGGCCAGGGGCGGGGCCAGGCTGATCTCTGCCTGGTGCTCATCCCACGACCCGCTCAGGGCCCAGAGCCTCCGAGGCGCGGCGGGAGCTCGGCTGGTGCTGGCCGGCCGCTCCGAGGGCTCCCGCGGCCCGAGGTCGCCCGTGCTCGGAGTTCTTCCGCCGCCCGAGACCTCCCTCTGGCCGCGGTCTCTAGCGCCCCGAGATCTCCCGGGCGGGCCAAGATCTCCGCCCCCACCATGCGGCCGAGGAGGTGAGTGTGTCCGCGGCCGCGTCCTGTAGGTTCGCGGGACGGAGCGGAGGCGGCGCGGCGCCGGGGAGCTAAGTTCTGTCCGGGGACCGGTCGCCTGACGGGGCAGCGGAGGCGGGGCTCCCCCCCGCGGGCACCCCCCCGCCACCGTCCCGTCGGTCCCACCACTTAGTCTCCCTAGTTAGAAATGCAGGTAAAGATTATCCCCTCAAGAAAGGAAAGTAAAAGTACTGAGATGTCACAGCCACCAGTCACCATGCCCCTGAGCAGGTAGCCCTGTGTGTGCTTTCTCCCATCTGACCCAGGGAGCTGTGGGCTGGGGCGGGGCAAGGAGGTGACAGGTGAGGCAGGGGGCACAGCTGGGGTGTGCAGGGTGCAGAGGCTCCCAGACTGAAGGTGCCAGGAGCCTGGGAGTGCTGAGACACATCTGCTGGCCCCCAGGGCTGAGCAGCCCACAGGCTGGGGTGGAGCCACCAGATCTGGTTCCAGATTGACTGTGTTCCTTCAGAAGGTTGTCCTGGGGCTGCTCTGACCTTGCTTGGAGGCAAGCATCTTACATCCTCTCTGTCTCTCAAATCTCAAATGCCAGGAAAGTGTTTTTTTCTGATTTTATACAGTTTCTTGGACCCCATCCATGCGAAGTCACACTCCCCAGGGTCTGGTGACCCATCTCGATAGCCTTTATCACACTCTCAAAATTGCTCTGAGGGGTGTTCTGTTAACACAGAGCTGGTCTCTGGCAGGGGGTTGCCATGCTGGGCAGGGAGGCTACGGCCCTGGCTCCTCTCCCTGAGTTCCTGGCTGCCCTTGGGACCCTGGGTTGATGGGCTGGCTGGTTGTGGATGTATTCCCATTTGGATGATGTGTAACCGGCTCTTGCCTAGTCTGGAAGAAGCGGGACTCACCTGGCTTTCTGGTTGTTTCTTCCCAGTCCTGGACTGCTCCTGCTGCTGCTCTGGGGTCTGCAAGCCGGTAAGTGCAGGAGGCGCTCTTGGGGAGGCTTCCAGCTCTTCATTGCGGAGCAGTAGGACCGGGGGTGGAGGCAGGTGTCAGTGGGGTCCTCGCCACAGGCCTGCCTGCTCTTCCAGGGGTCCTTATGAGAAAGCTGGGCCCCCAAGCCTGGAGTAATGTGTGGGACTGACTGCCACTAAGGGGAGCGCTCCACCAGCCCCCAAGGTTTCATTTTGTTTCATGTTTGGGGCAGGCACTGTACAGTTCCCCCCAAGTGTTTCAGAACCTCCACTTCCCAGAGGAGCCAGGAGCTGGGCTTCCTGTTTCTTGCAGTCTCCGTGCTCCCCAAAGCCACCAGCATCCAGGAGAGCACAAAATGGAGTGCGGCACCCCAGTGGAGACCGAGGCCTTGTCTGGTCTTCCAGGCCACAGAGGAACGGGTCAGGGCACATGGCCACTTTCCCTGCTGGCGTTCCTATGGTTGGAACACCCCAGAGCCTTGCTGGGCTTTCACTGATGGAGCACGAGCAGCATCACAGTGATTTGAGAAGCTGATGCTTTCTTTCAAAATGTCTAGATTTTTTTTTTTTAACTTTTTATTTTGAATTCGTTATAAAAATCCCAAGAAGTAGCAGAAACCGTGAGGAGCAGTCCCGGTGCCCCAGGGCCTGATCCTTCCAAGGCTGGCCTCCCACCTGATCACAGGAAACCAGGCCCAGCCCTGCAGTTCACCACCAGGGTCCAAATGTTTAAGAAACTTCGGCTTCTTTATGTGCTTCTTATTAACACATTCCTTTCCTACCGACATGAGTCACAATTGGAATTTGAGTCTTGCAACTCAGCAGCTCCCACCCCCGCCCCCTATAGGGTGCCCTCAAAGTTGGGGACCAGGTGCGGAAGATGACTTCTGTTCTCTCTGGGTGGTTGCAGAGAGTCAAGAAGAAGTGCGAGCGATGGTGGGCAGCGACGTCCGGCTCCGCTGCATTCACCCTGAAGAAAACAGCTTCGATTTAAACGACCTTTACGTTTACTGGCAAATCAGCATGGCAGGCAAAGGGAATGCCGACTCCGTGGTGACCTACTACCTGTCCGGAAACGACTCTGCCAACCACAGTGATAACCACTACAAGGACCGGGCCCAGCTGTCCTTGGACAGCATGAAGCGGGGCGATTTCTCTCTGCATCTGCGTAACATCACCCCCCAGGACGAGCAGAAGTTCGTCTGCCTGGTGTTTCAGATATCCTTGCAATTAAAAAAGATTTTGGAAGTTACAGTCACGCTGCATGTGGCAGGTAAGACAGAGGAGGCTGCCGAGCTGATTTCATCCCAGCCTTATGTCCCAGAAGAAGTGCCAGTGAGACCCGTTTCCTGTGGCTCTTTCACCTGTGTGTTCCCTTAAAGAAAACCCCGATCCCTCTGTGGTTTGGTGTTTAACTGTGTGTACAGCTGAGGGGAGCAAAGATCATTCAACTCCTGAGACTGTTTTCCAGTATCCGAGGCTGCCTGCTTCCATATGGGAGCTCCCCATCTTGCTGTCTTTGCCTTGAACTCTCCAGCTCAATCCAATCTAGACTCTTTTACATTGTTCACTTATTTTATTTTTGGCTGCACTAGATCTTCATCGCTGCATTCGAGCTTTCTGTAGTTGTGGCAAACAGCGTACTCTCTAGATGTGGTGTGCAGCTTCTTATTTTGGTGGCTTCTCCTGTTGTGGAGCACCGGTTCTAGGGCATGTGGGCCCAGTACTTGCAGCTCAATGGTGGGCTCAGTAGTTGAGGCTCCAAGCTCTCGAGCACAGGCTTAGTAGCTGTGGTTCACAGGCTGAGTTACTGTGCAGCATGTGGGATTCTCCCTGATCAGGGATCGAACCTGCGTCTCCTGGATATTGGCAGGCAGATTCTTTACCACTGAGCTGCCAAGGAAGCCCCCCAAACTAGGTTTTTTGATGAACCAGTGCTGTAAGGCACTAAATGAGGTCAGGAGAGCCAGAAGATGAACGCGTCTTCAGCAGGCTGCTCGGGGCATCATTCAGTGGACATGGGGGATCGGGACTCAAATGAGGCCAGCCCTATTGGGGCAGGAAGTGGGCACCGGTCACTGCTCACCAGACTCAGTGGCCCCCTTATTGACCTGGGGGGTGGCTCTTGTGCAGAACGAAGCCTTGCTGATGACGAGACCACACTTTTGGTCCTGCCCCTGCTCCAGCATCACAGGCTCAAGGGCTGCCTCCCCCCTGCTCTGGCCCTTGGCATGTGTCCCCCCTTTTCTGACCTTCAGGACCTGGCACCCCTCAGCACATTTCTCTCCCTGCAGCAAACTACAGCATGCCCGTGGTCAGCGGCCCATCCCAGGACGAGGAGCTCACCTTCACATGCACTTCCACCAATGGCTATCCGCGGCCCAATGTGTACTGGATCAACAAGACGGACAACAGCGTGCTGGATGACGCCCTGCACAACAGCACCGTGTCCCTGAACGCGCGGGGCCTGTATGATGTGGTCAGTGTCCTGAGAATCGGGCGAGCCCGCCGTGTCAACGTGGGCTGCTGCATTGAGAACGTGCTGCTGCACCAGAACCTGACGAGCGGCCAGACAGGTGAGGTCCCAGGGGCCCCCACGGGGCTGCATGCTGACCCCACCCCAAGGCCGGGCCGGGAGTGACCGGGCAGGAGACAGAGCCCCTGTGAGCAGACTGGGCAGCGGCGTCAGAGGTGGGGCAGGGAGGGGAGGTGAGAGTGTCACCATGCTGAGGGCAGGATCTGGCTGGTGCTCGGGGTCAGTTTTGGTGACCCATTTCACAGATAGGGGACTGAGGCTCTGAACATCTCAGAAGCCCCAGAACGAGGCAGCAGCAGCACTGGGATGGAAGCCCCATCCAGCGTGGCCCCCTTCCACATTCTTTTTTTTTTTTTTTTAAATAAAAAGTTTTATTGGAGAAAAATAGAACCACCACGTACACAGGGAAAAGAGCACAAAAATTCAACTGATACAGAACTGAAAGTCACAACTACCCAATGTTGTTTGCGATTACTTTTCAATTTCTTAAATGGCTTCCATCAATTTTTTAAATAGCCTTGCCAATTTTCAGCTGAAATAGCATCAAGTTTTCAAAAAATTAAGAGCCTCAGCGAAGGGACCAGCTTTTAAGATAACAAAGGTGACACCAAGAGTCTCCTAATAGGACCAATTGTACCGAAAAATTCCTAAAGCACCTAACTACTGAGTCTGGTAGAACAGTAGCTCAGAGACCATCAGGGATTAGTTAGAACACTGACTCAGATAGTCCAGTATGCAGAGAGGGCAAACAAAAAAGCTGCATTTCCCTGCCAGATGAGTCCACGTAAGAAAACCAAGGAGGTGCTAAGAAAATACAGGCAATGGCTGCTCAAAATAATTAAGAAGGCAATCTAAATACCACATATTATTAGACAACAGTGTGTAAAGTGATGCAATTAGAAAACAGGCAACTTAAAAAAAAAAATATGGTCACAGGTCTTTGAGAACTCAAGAAAACAATCAATAGCAAACACAAGAGCTGAAAGTCTTCGAAGCTGAGGGTTGAAAGTGAAAGTGAAGTCACTCAGTCGTATCTGACTCTTTGCGACCCCATGAACCGTAGCCCACCAGGCTCCTCCGTCCATGGGATTCTCCAGGCAAGAATACTGGAGTGGGTTGCCATTTCCTTCTCCATCCTTCCACATTCTTTGGACATGTGCCCCCTAAGAAGCAAGAACAACTCCTCCACCAGCGGGTCCGGCTGGGCCCAGCCACCGCACACAGCCCCCCGTGGAAGGGTGAGGGCGGGTGCCTCCTTGGTAGAAGCCATAGGCTCTCTGGGTCTGTGAGCCCCTGTCAGCAGGGTTGAGATGCTGGAGAAGGAGGGCGGGAGCTGGGGGATGGGGTCCAAGCCTGCCTGGTGCCGAGAAGCACCCTGGCTGCTGGGAGGGTCTGGCCCGGGCATTCTCCTGAAATACGGGTGCAGCCCTGTGACTCAGCAGTCGTGGTCCTCTGGCTGCACCAAAGGCCTCCTCTGACTCTGTGTCCCAGCAGGATAGTCGGAGTCAGGGGAGGGGGTATAGGAGGAGAGCAGGAGGGTCTCCTGGGGTCGTGGTCTCAGCCTGGCTGCTCTGGGGAACACCTGGGAACCCCTGTCCCTCCTCACCGCTTGCCCACACCCTCTGAATCAGCACCTCTGGGCTAACTGGGCGTCAGGATGTGTTGAAAAGCTTCCGGGTAATTCTAAGGCACATGGGGAGCCTTGCCACCGTCTGGGTTTGTAGCTTCTCTAGGTTTGGGGAAACACGGGGCACTTGTCACAAGCTGCCTGGGGAGGGTGTTGCTTGTCTGCCCCTGAGAACCGCTCCCCAGGAGGCACCATGGTGGGACACTGGGACAGGGGGGCTGGTCCGCTCCTGCACTTCCAGCAGATTCAGAGTGGTGCAACCGCCATGGAAAACAGTCTGTTGGTTCCTCAAGAAGCTAAACACAGGATTAGAATGTGACCCAGCAGTTCCAAGAGCTCTGGAAGCGAGACTCAGACAAATACTTGTACGTGAATGTTCACAGGAGCTTATTCACAGTAACCAAAAGGTGGGGACGCCCAAGAGTCCACAGGTGGACGAAGGGGTGAGCACAGAGTGTCCAACCACAAGGTATAGCGTTACTCAGCCACGAAAAGGAGTGAAGCTCTGAGCATGCTACAGCGTGGATAAGCCATGCAAATGATGCTCAGTGGGAGAAGTCACACACAACAGTCCTTATAGCGAATGACTCCACTGATACAAAATGTCCAGAATAGGTAAACCCAAACAGACAGGAAGTAGATTAGAGTTTGCCGGGGGCTGGGGGAGGGAAGGGCTTCCCAGGTGGTGCAGTGCTAATGCAGCAGACCCAGAAGACTCAGGTTCAACCCCTGGGTCAGGAAGATCCCTTGAAAAAGGAAATGACAACCCACTCCAGTATTCTTGCCTAGAGAATTTCATGGACAGAGGAGCCTGCAGGCTATAGTCCACGGGGTTGCAAAAAGTCAGACATGACTTAGTGACTGAACACGCATGCGGCCCGGGGGAGGGGGTGGGGAGTGACTGCTGGTGGGCAGAGGGTTTCCCTTTGTGGCGTGAAAAGTTCTGGAATCAGATAACAGCTATGGCTTCATGAACTTGTAAATTAGTAAACACCACTGAATGGTTATAAAATGGTTAATTTTATGTTATGTGAATTTCACCATCTTTTTTTTTAAGCCAGCAATTAAGCTAGAAAGAATTAAAGTTTAAAAAGCCAGGAAGATTATGCTTCCCTCCACACCATCCCCAGGTGTGAACCTCTACGAATCACTGGGGTTACAGGTCTCACAGGTGGGCTGAGGAGAAGGGGCATCCCAAGAAGAGATGAAGACTCACCTGAAAGAGGAAACCTTTGTCTCCATCAGCTTTATAGCTTAAAAACAACGAAGTACCTCTAGGAAGTCTTGTTGGATCAGTGCTTCTCTTCGAGCCCAGTCCTTCAGGATGAAAAAACCCCCTTTTTCTCCCCATCTATAAGCCCTGCGTGATTTTCCTCTCCTGCAGAAACATTCACGGGAACCAAGGACAGCATCACAGAGGACCCAATCGATGGCAGCCACGGGGGAGAACCTCGGCCGGTTCTTAGCGTCCTTGTCGTGCTGGCCGTGATCGTGGCCCTGGCTCTAGCCATAGGCTGGCTGTGTAGGAGCAGGTGTCCGCCCAGAAGCTACACAGGTATGGGGAAGCCTGTGCTGTGGACAGCGCATGTTTGTGCTGTTGGGGTGTGGGGCCACCTTTCCCAAGATGTTTACAAGCTCCGAGAGGTGTCACTTTCACGGGACATGCAGTTTAACAGTGCTAATGAGCGTGAGCATGGTAGCCGCAGCACCCTCCTGGGTGTGATCTCAGCCTCCGAGATCCTGACACTGCCCGCCCCCGAAGAGAAGGCCAGTCTCCTGGGTTTGGGGGAGGACGGTGGACTCTACTAATGTGGAGGTCAGGTGGAAGGAGCTGCCTTCCAGTCCCTTCAAGGCCTTCTGTCAGTTCTGGCCCACTCAGACAGATACAGAAAGTCTGGGGTTTGACTACGTAAAACAAAGAAGCAGAGCTCACAGTGGGAGCAGGAAAGCCAAGAGTGTGGACCTTGGAAGAACCAGGGGTCAGAGAGAGGGGCTGAGGGCTGGCCTAGGCCCAGCACAGTCTCCCCAGGGCAGCCTGGAGGTGGAGGTCAGCAGACATCCCCGAAGGTCCTATTAAGAGTCAAGACTTGCCGAGACCCCCCCGGAGAGTGAGGAAGGGGAGCGTGGCTGGACTCGGACATAGCCGATGTTGGGAGGCCCGCCTGACGAGAGGGGCTTCCACCTGCGGCCCTGGGGTGTCCCTCTGACTGCCAGCTTCCAGCTCCTAGAGATGTCGCCTGGCGCCCTGGAACCCTCAAAGCCCTCAAACCTCTCCAGATGCTTCCCACCTGACCTCCTACAAAGTCTCGTCCTGGGACTCAGGGTGGCCTGAGGATCCCCTCAGGAAGCCGGAGGAGGGTTGAGTCGTGGGCTACTGAGCATGGGGCCCCTGGAGTCTTCAGAGAGGCTTTGCTTCACTACCCTACCCTGAGCATTTATGATTAATTCCCACAGGTGCCCAGGTTGCAAGGCCAGAGCTGGCGCTCACGGGTGAGTTTGCTGAGAGAGAAGGAGAAGCGTGGAGGAAGCTCGGGTCACACAGGCAGGGTGGCTGGGCACTTGGCCCTCTGCACGAGCGTGGCTCAATGACCAGGAAATAGGTGCTTCCAGTGCACAGCTGGTGAAACCCCGAGTGGAGGCCTTCCCTCCTGGCGTGCTGCCCTGCCCTCTGCTGACTCTGGGATTTTCCAAATGTCCGCAGAAGCAGAGAGCCTGGAGCATGATGCCCACCCCCACACACCCTGTCTCCATTCCCCTGATCTCCCTCCATCACAGCCCTCGGGGAGGGGCTCTCCAGCAAGTCCAGACCCTTTGTGCAGACGAACACCTCACAGTTCCCATGCAAACGTCACATGATTCCCTCCCTACTTTGGGAAAGTATCACACACGGGGCCTTTGGTTTCGGTTTCCCACTGGCAGATGCCTTGGGCTGCCAGGGCCTTTGGGGTCCCGCCAGCCGGCTCCATGCCTGAAGCCAGTGTCCTCACCTCTCTGAACCCCATTCCCCCCCACTGCCCTTGAGAAGGGTTGTCAGGGGAGGGTGACCACGACCCACACGACGTGCTTGCCCACCTGTTTACCCAGGTGATTCCCGGCCCGCGGCTGCCTGGTGCCGCAGCAGATTCACTCCCGAGGCCTGTCCCCGAGGCCCATCCTGGAGGATGAGGGACACAGCTTGCTAAGGAATCCGGGTCCGCAGACCTAAGAGTCTGGTGTGCACTGCCTACAGGCGTTCTCAACCCTGTTTTCACTGTGCTGGGCCCTGAGAAGACCAGTCTCTGACACCGAAATGAGAATGAGTGGACTCCATGCTCACGCCCTCTCCCCTCTTTCCTTCCAAGAGCACGTGTGATGAGGGACCGCCCCACCCCAGGACGAGAGCTCCCAGGAGATGCCCAGCTGGGATGTCAGATGGCAGCTTGAGAACTGACTCGGACAGGCCGGGCAGAGGGGACCATCTGCGCCAGAAGCTCGGAGCTGCATGGACACTGGCCTCCTGGCATCGGGGGGACATGAAAGGCACTCCTGGAAGGACCACACTGATCCCGGGAGCATGTGCCAGCTGCTGACCCGATCCCAATGAACCTTTCAAAAGTTTGGCATGGTGGCTCCCCGGGATTACACATGCCCCCAGGTAGGTGGGCCCCCCACCTTTGCTGCCAAACACAGAATAAGAGAAGGGCTGTGACAGCCCCTTCCTGCCACCAGCCTTGGACCCGACTCGCTGTGGGATGAACTCCTGAGGCTGGAGGAAGAATGTCTGGTTCAGGAAGAGGTGTGCAGGTGCCCTCTGTTCCGGATGACCCGTGCTGGGCAGTGGCCACTCCAGGTGCAGCGGCCACTCTCTGGGTCTGCGTGTGAGGCTCCCAGCCCACCCCCAGCCCAATGGCCCCGTATCTGTGTGCGTGTCCTGAAGCACAAAACAGGAAACACTGGAAACCCGAATTCACGTCTCTACAGGATGCTCACTGGGAGGAAAACCTGACCTCCTTTGTTTTGGTCAGAAGCTAGGTTTCCCTCCTCAAAAGCACGTGGAATTTTAGAAGCTCTGTGCTGGGCGGAGCAGCTGGACACGGCAGCCCAGGGCTTGGACTCTGCTGCAGGGGACACTTGGGCAGATCTGGGATAAGCATTTCCGGTGAACACCAATGTGGACAGGTGACCATCATGGTCCTTCACAGTGGGGCCACGAGTGGACAGAGGGTGACCTCCCGGCCACGGCAGCTTTTCTTCAAACACAGCAGATTCCCTCAAATCTCGCTGGGCAGCCCCTGCCGGCCCCACACCATTGCCTGTGCCCCCACCTGCCTCCCCTGAGGACCTGCAGGGTCATGACAGCAAGTTGCCTCACCCAGGGGGTCCCCCAGCCCACCAGGCCTGCTGGGCGGCCTGATGCCCTGCCCCCACCCAGGTGGTTTCCACGTTAATTCCGGGATTGCATCCAGCAGTTCAGTGTTCCCAGCAGGTTCTGTGATGGAGTCTGCCAGATCGCCTGGTGGGCGCCACCTCCCCCCAACCACAAGAAGTGGGCCTGTCGCCCTGTGATTATTCAGCGCCCACGGGCATGTGAGACCTGCGCCTCACAGACCCAGACTCGCAGCAAACTCAACAAGGCGGCTTGGGGTGGATCCTGAGCCAACAGTGTTTCAAGGATCCTGCGTGTGTTTGTACCAAAAGCCCTCACATGGCCTGTATATGACTGTGATGTGGGATCCACACAGACTTTTAATATGAAAGCATTAGAAGACATGTGTGGTTCCTCAGAGAATGACAGAAAGGTGACTCATGACATCTCGAGCAAGAAGCCCAAGTGGCAGGCGGGGGTGGGCAGGTGGGAGCAGCCAAGTGGATACGGGCAGGTGGGCATGGCCCGTCCACAGTGACTGTGCTGTGATGCCAGGACAGGTACCCAGGAGGGCTGTTCCACCACCCTGCCGGAGGCCCGGGGCCTGCAGACCCTGAGCAGCCCCTGGTGGGGGGGTGGGGTGGGGGTGGTGTCTCAGCAGCTGCAGGGGGACCGAGTCTGGTTCCAGCTTTCCAGCCAGAAGTAATTTCCTTCTTGGGGAAGCGGCAGGGCTGGCCCTCCGGCTCGGGCCCCCTTGACACCCTGGCCCGGGAGACTTGCTTGTGAGCTTTGCCTTGGCCCTGGCCTTCCCGAAGCTGAGGACACGCCCTCCAGGCTCCGTGCCAGAGTTGTTATCTTCCTGCTGGACCTCTTCCAGACCTCTGGGGCTACAGCGGTGCCCGCTCTGTCCAGCTCACACAGGTCACCCCCGGCCAGTTCACCCTGGGCCTTTGCTTGCGTCTCATGCTGTGTTATGGATAGCATGTGAGTGCCGAGTTTTGACATTTTTGGAAGCCTGGTTCCAGAGAATATAAGCTATTGGCATGCCTGGGTTCAGTCACTTTGGTGACAGTCCGCTTGGTCAGTCCTGATTGTGGTGGGGGACCCGGCCCCTGTCCCTCCAGAGTGGCCCCATCTCCTGGGGGACATGGATCAGTGTGGAGGCATTTGGTCACCCTTGGGGCTTCCTACTGACAGTGGGACACTTCTAAATGTCCCACACAGATGGGGTCCTGCCCAGAGGTCAGTAGCCAAGATTGAGGATCCCCGTGTCACCTTTCCCTGGAAGACAGGACAGCAGAGCTGCTGTCGGGGTCCCCACCTGCACTGGGTCCAGGAGAGGTGACTGACGGTTCACCGGGGAACATTCCAAGTCAGGGGCTGGGCGAGAGTCCAGGGTGCTGGCGTTGCCGTGGGTGGAGGCCACAGGCTGCAGGAGTCTGGTCTCTGGGAGCCTGTGGCCCCTGCCCCCTCTGCCCTGCACACAGTGGGTGCGCAGTGAACACCTGTCACGGAGGTAGAGCCCGCTGGCAGGGGGAGGCTCATCGAGAGGGCAGGGGGCAGAAGGGAAGCCGCGTCACCAGCACGCCCCAGTTTCCCTTCCCAGGAGGCAGGCAGCTAGAGCCTGGTTCTGCCTCCCCGGGCCCGGCAGCTCGGACGCTCCCCGTGACTGCAGCCCGCACTCTGGGGAGGGCAGCTGGGGCACTGGAGACCGTCAGGAGAGGGCCGCCCTGCTCTGCCAGTGCCCGTGAGGGCCTGGTGCTGTGATGCTGGTCGCTGGTTGGGCCGGAAGCTGGCAGGCGGCTCAGGACAGTGCCTGGGCCAAGCAGGCATATCCTGTCTGCATCTCCTTCCAAGCCCCAGCTTCTCAGAAAGAGGTCGTTTCCAATCAGAAGGCACTGACCTGGGACCATTCTGTTCTTGGTGACTGATTCCCCATCCCCACACTGGCCCAGCCAGCCCAAAGATGGTCTGAGGCTGGAGGGGGCAGTCTTACCCCCCAGCGAGGCCAGCCCTGTGTTCCCACCCTCATCAGGCCCACCGGCCACCGCTAACCACGTCTGCTACATTCCTGAATGTTCTCCAGCCTTGACTCAGCACCCGCCCCACCACAGTCCCCAGCTGCCCAGGGCTCCTTCCTGACTCCTGAGTCCCATGGGGAGCATTGCTAGTAAACATGTCATATTTTCCTTGAATCTGTGTTGATCCTGCCGTCATCAGGGAGAAGTGAGAAGCTGGGCTTTCGTCACAGGGGCAGCGTAGGGCAGCTCCAGTGGGGTGAGGGTGTGGGGAAGGCTGGACCTTGTCCAGGATCTTTAATGTCAGGAATTCAGGGGCTTGTCTCAGTGCCCCCCGGGCTCAGCCTGAGCTCCGGGGAGGGAGTTTCTGCCACTTCCGCTGTTGGGAGGGCATAGTGCACACTTCCTGGGGGCTGGGGGGGTGGGGGCCCTGGCCAGCGCCCCCCCGCCACCCCGTGTCAGGAACAGAACCACAGCCATACCACCTTCAAAGTCGCCTAAGGACCCAGATAGGTCTGGGTCTTGGGGGTGTGACCCCAGGGCAGGAACTGGCCAGGCTCCTCCTCCCCTCCCCTGCCTCCCCCCCTCCTCATGTGCTCCTGTCCCCATGCCCTCACAGTGTCCTGGGGCCTGAGCTCACCCCGCCCCGCCCCCCGAGGCTGCTGGGAGTGGTCCAACCAGGAGGGGGTGGGTCACTGCCACACCAGGGCCCAGGCAGAGGGCTGTGATCAGAGAGGCAGGGGAGGACGCAGGGCACAGCTGGTCCACAGACAGCGCGGCTGGGCACGTGTGGTTCAGGTACCCCGTGCACTTCTCCATGGGCTCCCGGCAGATCCAGGGCAGGACCCCTCACCCGAACCCAGAAAGTGACACCATGATTTGGCTAAAATGCAGCCTGAGAGGGCTGCTGGGCCCAGACCCAGGGGACCCGATAGGCAGGACCTCTGTGCAGGGTCTGCCTCCTCTGGGGCGAGGGTGGCGGGACTTACCCACGCTGTGAGTCAATGAGCTCCCGGGAGGGGCTCCGGGTGTCTTAAACAGCAGATGTCCACTCTCTCTGGGTCTAGAGGCCAGAGTCCAAGATGATGGTGTGGGCAGGACTGGTTCCCTGACCTCTCTGTGTCTCCTGCAGCTTCCGGAGCCTGCAGGTGACCCCTGGCACAGCCCACAGCCCTGTCTCTGGCGCCCTCTTCTCCTTACAGGGACACGGGTCACTGCATTAAGGGCCACCCTACCCAGGGTGACCCCATCTTCACTAGTGACCTCGGCTGAGACCGTTTCCCAGTGAGGTTCCCTGAGATGAATTTGGGGGGCCCTGTGCGACTCCAGGGAAGATCCCCTGGGGGAGGGCACGGCAACCCTCTCCAGTATTCTTGCCTGGAATGTCCCAAGGACAGAGCAGCCTGACAGACTACAGTCCGTGGGGTCACAGAGTCGGACACCACTGAGGCAGCTGTGCATTTCCAAGCAACTCACTACAGCTCTCAGGAGGAGGAGAGAGAAAGATGGAGTAATGGGGAGGGGACGCCAGGGGGTTTGGGAGCGGGCAGAGACTGAGCAGAGGAGAGGGCCGAGGTCGGACCCAGTGGCCGCCGTCCTTTCCGCCTGTGATGACTGCACCCTGTAGGCCCTCTTCACGCCTCGCCTGCAGGAGCACGTGCAGGAGCTGGGCCCAGTGGGTGAACACCGGCCCCCACTCTCCTGCCGATCGGAATTCCGTCCCTGCAGGAGCACCTCGTGGCGTGTCACAGGGGGACCCGCAAGTCCCTCTGCAGGGCGCTGGCCCTGGTGCCGTGTCCTCCTCGCCGTGATCCCCATCCTGGCCGGTACCCAGCTCTGGACCTCAGGTCAGCCTGCAGTCAGCATCAAGCCCACAGGGCAGCTAAAGAGGCCGTGCAGCCTGGGGAGGGACAGGCTCCCACCTTCTTCTGGGCCTTCCCTGGGACCCATGCCTCCTGGGCGCTGGGTCAGAGCCCTTCGGAGGTGTGGGCAGCACCCCTCCCCGAGTACGTGCACACAGACGTGGCCCTGCTACCAGGAATGCTAGGAATCAGAGTCTTGGGTCTCAGGAGGCCATGCGGACTGGGCCAAGGCTGGAAGCCAGGCTGGCAAGGGGGTCCTTGGGAGGAGAAGCAGCTGATCCTGGAGGAGGGACAGGACAGACGCAGCTGTGGCCAAGGCTGCAGGGGGAGGAGCCGTGAGAGCGACGTGAGGGGCTCAGGCTCAGGAGGACGAGGTCCAGCAGATCCCATTTAACCCTGAATGCCAGGCACCACCTCCTCACTGTCTCCCACCCCTCCCCGCTTGGCCAGGCCTAGGGTCACTACACACCGCCCACCCTACAAGGCCTGGTGCCCAGGGAGGCCAGCCCCTACGCTGACTCAGGTAGAAACCCCAGCATTGGGATTTTCACTTCAGATGCCAAATCCAAGAGGCTTCACAGGCACACTTCAGTTTTTTAAGGTAAAAATTACTTTAAAAATAAAAACCAAAACCACTTCCTAAAGCACAGGAGTGGATGGGAAATGGCAAGCCTGGACTCTAACCACGTTCAGTTGCTCAATCGTGTCTGACTTTCTGCGACCCCATGGACTGCAGCACACCAGGCTTCCCTGTCCATCACCGACTCCCAGAGCTAGGGTTTTTCAGCTTGCTCCTTGGAAGAAAAGCTATGACCAACCTAGACAGCATATTAAAAAGCAGAGACATTACTTTGCCAACAAAAGTCTGTCTAGTCAAAGCTATGGTTTTTCCAGTGGTCGTGTATGGATATGAGAGTTGGACTATAAAGAAAGCTGAGCAACAAAGAATTGATGCTTTTGAACTGTGTAGTAGAAGACTCTTGAGAGTCCCTTGGACTGCAAGGAGACCCTAAAGTCAGTCCTAAAGGAAATCAGTCCTGAATATTAATTGGAAGGACTCTAACCAAATGTTCATTCAATTGTGAGTGAAGCATTGTGGGGTTGGGGTGGGGTGGGGGGAGGAGGCACAGCTGCCTCCAGGAGAGGCCAGCCTCACAGAATAAACCGGGGCTGGTGTGTCCAGACCTGGACGACATGGGGGACTCCCACCCTCACCAACAGCTCGAGGGCCACTCCCGCAGGACTGGGACAGCCTGGCGGGACACAGAGCACTGTGTGGCCGGCGCACAGGAAGGCACAGGTCCCGACGGCTCAGCCCTCCCGGGCGCCTCGCACCTGAGTCGCCAGGGACTTTCCACCTCTGCCCTCAACCGCTGGACACGCAGGGCTGTGTGCATGGAGGCGTGAAGCACCTGACCCGCAGAGCCGTTTTCCGTTTACACCCGTGTCTGCGAGCATCCTCTTAACCTTCTACTTTAGTTAACCGATTGGGCTCCCTGTTTATCTTCCAATGAAACCTCCACATTAGAATATGAAACTTTGTTCCTGGGAGTCTAAGCAGACCCCCACCCCCCCCCACCCCCGCCCTGTCCCATTTGGGAAGGAAGAGGCTTCATGTCACCAAGTGGATTTCATGGATGGATCCCCAGGCAGGGGTTGAGGCAGGCGGGAAAAGTCGTTGAAGGGGATTAGGGGGTTGGGCTGGCCAGGGTCAGGGGCTGATGACGGGAAAACCTGAAGTTTAGCTTCGGAGGACAGTAAAATCTCCCCAGCTTTCAAGGGCTATTTATAAATCTTTATTTAATGATGGGATAAACCCGGGAATCCCTCACCTTCTCTAATAAGATAAAGCCAAAAGTAGAACTGTGACAAAGGGCACGGAAAAAGCTGTCAACTACAAGGACCCAGGTCTGGAAAGAGCTCCTGGCTGTAGATGAGAGGCCCATGGTCAGGGGCACCCCACAGCCAGAGGGAAGCCCCAGGGCAGAAGGACACTCCAAGGTCAGAGGGGACCTACCAGGCACTGTGGAGGGGGTGACTCTGGACACAGAATCAGAATGAGTGACTGTGACTTCAGCAGGACATTCCTGGGAGGACTCTGTGAAGCAGCTGCTTGCCAGTGCCCTGGCCTGGCAGTGCATTTGCCACTGTTCCTCTCGGAGACAGTGGTCCTGTCCATG